CCTGATATATATATATATATATATATATATATATATATATATATATATATATATATAAATATATATATATATATATATATATATATATATATATATATATATATATATAATATATATAAATATATATATATATATATATATATATATATATATATATAAATATATAAATATATATATATATATATATACATATATATATATATATATATATATATATATATATATATATATATATATATATATATAAAAGATGGCGCCTACGTGGACCATTTTCCACTTGGCATGGAATTGGATCGAACGCTGGCCTTTCCCGCGGGAGTTCCCGCTACCCATTCCGCCATCATTGGAAAAAGAAAGAAAGATAAAATATATATGTATATATATATATGTATATATATATATATATATATATATATATATATATATATATATATATATGTATATATCTGTATATATATGTATATATATGTATATATATATTATTGTATATATATTAATATATATATATCTATATCTATATATATATATATGTATTTATATGTTTATATAAATATATATATGTATAAATACTGCCGCGATGGCACAGTGCCTGCGCTCTGACTGCTGGCTCGAGCCCGAGAAAACGACATATCGCCTTGAGAAGTCAAACGCAGGTGTCGTAGAGGAAGTCACCGTCGTGTTAGCGCGCCCAACTGCGGTTGATTAGGAAGGGCATCCAATCAGGCAAGGGTGGCACTACCATATAACCTTTCAATAGTGAATTGAGATAGGTGTATGTCCTGTAGTGGAATGAATGGCTGTTACAAAAAATGCATATATATATACATATATATTTATGGGCATATATATATATGTATATATATATATATATAAATATATATATATATATATATATATATATATATATATATGTATATATATTCATATATATATATATATATATATTATATACATTTATAAATCACTCAATATCATAAATACATTCTTCGAAAATGGACTAAAGCGGAAGTGGACATGGAAATCGCCATCTGACATCAAAAACGAAACTGACGTCATAAAATCAAGTAGGCGCGATATAGTAAAGAATGTGGGAGTTATTGATTAAGCAAATGTTGGCAGCGGCCATAGAGTGGTCAGAGGCCAAATTATATTACACCTCAGAAGGGAAAGGAACAAATTCAAATACAAAAACCGCAGCCAAATTTAGCTAACTTGAAGACCAGAGCGAGAGGATTTAACCTTTCACATCCAAAACAGATATTCACTTCTCAGCTCTCGGTAAAAACTAAACGACTTATACAAAATATACGTAGGGTCATGAAAGTATCATCAAACAGAGACAATGGAATTCGCTTCACTAACAAAGACAGTAAATAAAAAGATGAGAGATGTACAGAAATTCAATACTCACATAATAAATGAAACCGTGATCTCAGGTACCAGCATGAGAACATCTTAAAGGGGGGGTAGGGAGGGGTATAGGGGGGGAGGAAGGGAAGAGTGGTTGGGATATACAAGGAGAAGGAGGGGGATACGGAGGAAAGGGGGGGGGGAGGAGGTACTGAAGGAGAGGCAGAGGAAGAAGAGGAGGACAACGAGGAAGAGGAAGAGGAGGAGGGGGGGAGTAAGGAACTGTTTTAAAGAGGTAGGGGGGGGGGGGGGGCGGAGGGAGCTGATAAAAGGGTTAGATTCAACCTGAAGAACCGGAATGAAATTACCTTCTCCGGTTTCCTGTTCAACGTTGATTTACGTCTGAACCGTTTGCTTGTCTGTTTGTCTGTGTGCTGTCTCTTCTGTGTTATTTCTTAATCGTTCGCTGCGAGAGGGACACCTCTTTCACGATTTAACGCTAAAACACAAAGATATTCCTCTCAAAGCCTCGTTCATGGCTCCTACGTAGGGAAAATCGCAGCGAAAATGTATTCAAATCAAATGTGCTGGACGTAACTGTGTATTATAGTCCTATGTGCTGAACGGGGAAATGTGTTCAAATCAAATGTTTTACGCGTGGACGTGTGTTAAAGTCAGACGTAGTTCACCGTGAAAATGTGTTAACGTGAAAGACAATTTGGGATGATTTGCCCTGCCTTTCAATCTCTCCCCTCCTCCCCCCTTGCCCCCTATCCTGGAAACGGCGATGGAACTTGTCAGAGAGGAAGCATTAAAAAAAAATGTACTATAGAGTTATCCAGGTGTGATTGGCGTGTACATGTATCTATTTCATTTTTATCCCTCTTCCTTTCTTATGTTTTAACGTGCTCTGTTGTTCTCACGAGTTATCACTTTTAAAGAAATGATAATATGCATTACTTAACTATATCTAGCGCAAGGTACCTTATCGTAAGGATAGTCGGAAAAATCGTTTTCGTTCTCCTCCATACTGATCCTGTATCTACTCCACAACGTTATGAATCAGGATCGTAGCGTTGTTAATATCCCTCCGGCCTCCTCCTCACTGTCTGTGTTTACAAGCTAATTCTATCTCCACTAGTGTCGTTATACTGTGTAGCACTGGAATAAAATAAAGTAGTAATAATCTCTATCACTGGAAGTACACTCGGATATGTGCTATGCAGAACGCGAGCTTGCCGTTATAAGCATGTTCTTCGGCAACATGTCCTTGTAGAACGATCTTCATGAATACCCCATAAAGGAAAATCTATATTTTCTCGTTCATAAAAGGAAAAAGGGAATGATAATATTTCATGTCATGTAATTTAGCTTAATTTCGAGAGAGAGAGAGAAAAAAAGTCATTTCCATCCCACCATAACATGCTATATTATCATAAGAATAAACGTATAATATCATCACAGCAAGGTATAACAATAGAACACATATATGCGCGCAGTGTTGCCGAATTTCACCCCCTCACTTCCTCTCCTGGATGGGAAACAGAGGATGAAACCCCGCTTAAGCCGCGTAAGGACTTGATGTTAGCTTACCCATTACCAGCCAACAAGGTAATTATTGTTGATAGCTTCGTGGACTCTGCATTTCGAGGCCGGTCCACTCTCAGGATGCGTTTTGGAAAGTACTTCTCAAACTCTAGTAAGAGAACAATAACTTATGCAAAGGAGACGAATATATACCAGCATGATTCCTCGTAAAAGCATATGTACTTGACTACAGATTTGCAACAGGCGGATCCCAATCAACGACAAGTTTCTGCAAGGTGATGTCAGGATGCGTTTTGGAAAGAATTTCTCAAACTGCAGTAAGAGAACAATAGCTTATGCAAAGGATATGAATATACACTAGCTTGATTCCTCGTAAAATCATATGCACTAGACAATAGATTTGCAACAGGAATATCCCAATCAAAGACAAGTTTCTGCAGGTTATTGTCCACATTACTACATGCATAACAGGGATTAAATGTTGAATGAAGAGGGAACAAATGATGTTTGTTTCAGAGAATGAATGTTCTAAATATTCTAACATTCTTTCGGCATAAATTTCCCTTGTAACTTTGAAGAAATTTTGAATTGGTTAAAAAAAAAAAAGGTTATCAACACAGCATCAGCATAAAGCATATTTCTCTGCCTTAAACGCCTTTCATTATCAGTAACTCTACGTCTATAAATACAGTATATCTCCGCCTACAATCCCAGTCTTTTCAATTACCTACTCTAGACCTATCTGGACATACATCATGTCTTTATCTTTAACATCTGAGGTATCTCTGCCTTTTCTTCTCTTTATCTCTTTACCTATACATCTGTGTCTTTAAAGATTGATTGATGATTTTAATTATCTACTGCGTAAACTGATAAGGTCATTAGCGGCGAATACCTTATTGGATTGAAATGTTCAAATATGTAAAACCTTAAAAATCTATCAAATCTTATAAATAAATATAAATAAGAATAACTATTGTAGTGAAAATTAAGGCATAAACATTATGCTCTAAATATATATATAATTATTGCATAAATATAATGCATATATAAATTTTATTTAAGATATTAGTCTCCCTAAGGAAACTAATAAGACTATGTAAAAATCCTCCCTCAATGCATTTTTTCAGTGTATATTGGGAAGACAAGTACATACTTCTTTAGTCTGAGAATGTTGCACACTTTCCACTATATGTGCGACCGTTAACCCAATGAGCGCGGGTGGTAAGACTTCAGTGCTATGTAATAAAAGTTTTATATATTGCCTTTACACATAGATGGCTCTACAAGTGCTTAGTCACCAAGGAGTCAGCTATTAGTCTTACCTATGTCATCTATTTAGCCTTTTCCTTCAGTTTTTTTTAAAGACTTCACTTCTGTTATTTATTGTTTATGATGTTATTATTTTGATAATAATTTAATATTCATAATCTCAATAAGAATGATAACAATGTCAATATTAATAGTACTAGAAAGAAAAAAACACATTTTCCCGCCAATTCAAGGAATGGAGAAATCAGGGTAAGGTCACGAGGGATAACTTTAAAGAAAGGTCGTTTTCACGTTTCACCTCTGTAAATAATAAAAAAGGCGTTTAATTTTTTATTTTTCATTTATTTATTTATTTATTTTTATCTCTGTTTTACTCACTTTATCTGCCTGAAATGTCCCAATCTATTTCTTGTGTAGCATTAAATGGCAACCCAGATATTGTTTCAAAGGCAAATTTGATGTTTGAGCTTACATTTTGTGGTGATTTTTCAACATTGTCATCAGTATCACCTTCATTATTATTGCATTTATTGTGGTCGAAGTCGCGGTCGAAGTCGATTTTGACGTAGTCAGAGTTAAGGTCGAAGTCGAAGTCAAAGTCGAAGTCGTAGTCGTAGTCGTAGTCAAACTGATGTCGAAGTCGAAGTCGAAGTTAAAGTCTTTGTCGAAGTCGAAGTCGACGTCAAAATGAAATTAGTCTTAGTCGAAGTCGACGTCAAAATGAAATTAGTCTTAGTCGAAGTCGGAAGTTGAAATTAAATCAAAGTCGAAGTCAAAGTCGTAATAACAATTATACCTTCATTACACGTTCTATCATATAACGATAATCA